TTTATGTAAAAAAACTTCCAATTTTGTAACTGACTCAAAAAATCTCAGGGGGGGAAATGGCCCCCACTGGCCCTCCCTTCCGGGCGTCCCTGTCTGGCATAAAGGTATAAAAAATTTGTTTGATTTATCTGCAATGGATGTTGAACAACATGATGTTTCAGTTTAACTATTAAAATTATCATTTAATGGAGCTTAAAATTGTTCAACAATTGGATCCTCTTCACCCAAATGTTTGACTATCGTTGGAATGGCATCAGATTTTAAACGATTTTTTTGGTAATTACTGAACATTTTGTCTTCAAAATGCAAAGAACAAAGTCTGTATTTTTTGTTCAAAATAACAGGATCAATTTGATACAATGATTTGCAATTGCATTTTTCCAACAAAATAGTAGGTAGGTACATCTAAAATAATAAAAAATTCATTATCAGTGTCATTCTTGTTATCATTCTGTGATACATATTCAATATTTTTCATAATTTTTGTATAAACTTTATCAAGTAAGGTATAAAACATAGTAGGAGACATTCTCATACATTTGGTAAATTCAGCTATATTATTAACAGCAAGTTCACTTAAAAGTAAACTACTCGCAACATGAGTATTACTATTTTCAAGCAATTTTCTTATCCATTTTTTTTTAAATTATTCATATTATAAAAATACTATTTTACCATAATTTAAGACAAAAACACTTAATTAAAACAAATATAAAAATTATATAATTATAATAATATTATATAATATTATTATAATTATAATACATTGACTTTGATCCTACATTCCTACAAAACTCACCTCTAGAATGAATAATAATCGATTTTACTATACTGTGTATTGACACACGCTAGACGGAATTTAGTACTCGATTTAGTAATTTGCTTTAGTGACTCGGCCAAGTACTAAACCAGTGTGAACTCGGCTTTCGATTAACTAGGGTTGTAAGGACTAATTTTACTCGCATACTTGCACTGTTGCGGCAAATGATTCTAGGAATAGTTTGTCACGTGTGCGGCTGCGATGGCGAACCCTGTAGAACGCGTGATATAAGAGACGTATATGCAGTTTACATTATATAATACACAACGTTTCCAAGACCATCACGATATTCGGGTCGTCAAATTCCCAATTATTTAATCGTACACGCGTATTCCGGTGTGGCAAGGAATTGTTAACTTTAATTAAATAAAAATACTTAAATATTCTCACGTAAAAACCACTTTAATAAATACACATAATTATCTGTATCAGTTAATCCCTATCATTAAAACAACGCACAAGTCAACGTCTCGACTTGAATCACTACTACTCTCCAGTAGTGATGGGTTATTTATGAATGAATCCACAGGTGGATAGGTAGTTTTTTGTTACAAGGAAATATTTTAATGTGGCCATCAAAATGAAAAAAAAATTTGTTTTTAAAAAATGTATTATAATTACTCATCCTAACTTAATTTAAATAATTTAACTATAAACAAAAAATAATAAATTTCCATGAAAAAAATAATGGCATCGAGGGGGCCACCCACATAATATAGGGTGAGGGCCCACAGGGAACATCCCTTTTTCCCTATAGGCCTATCCACCCCTGAACGAAATCAAAATATTTTACTATAATATGTAAATATTAATAAATAATAATCAAATATCATTAAAAAAAAATCTGTGGTGGGGGGGGGGGTGGAAAACCCTTACACCCTCCCCGTAACTACGCAACTGGATAAATAAGTAGTTTATAATTAATTAATTATTATTGTGTTCTACGACTTCGAGAGTGATATCAGGCAATCTTGATTAGTGGAAAATATAATACTCAAATAAAAGTTATTAATTATTAAAGTTTGAGTTAATCGTAATTTATTATTTATTTTTTTATTCAATTATTTTTGAGTAATTAGTAATTTATAAATAATTACAAAGCAGTTTTAGATCAGTTGATTATATTTTTGAAACAATCAAATGCGTTTAATTCATTTATATTAACTGGCTCGATTGAAACATGATAAACATAATTGAATTTCTCCTAAATACAATACCAACAGACTTGTTTATTTTTCTAAATTATAGTTATTCTTTACATTTTAAAACAAAATTTAAAAATTACGCTTTTATTCAAAAAAATTCTTAACATATTTAACACTATATTCATTAAATATACTCGTACATACAATATATAAATATACATATTATTATAACCCGCAAAAAGTTATAGTGAAAATGGCAAATTT